GTGGGTGATGGGGTCGTACTTGACGCGAAGGTTGAAGTGCGCGCCGTCGTGGATAACCTTAGGGAAGCTGTGAGGCATAGCGGGGATGTGGGTGGGGGTGGGGGGGGGGGGGTGCGATAATGGGGAAACGGTAGGTAGAGAATGCCATCGAGCAGAGGCAGGAAGATATACAGAGTAAACGTCGAGATCGAGGCTGAACATCTCGAGAGGTCAGCCTCTGGGGGTAATATCGAGCCTCTTCCTCTACTCTAGGTCGATCTCGTCGTACAGCCAACGTCAGCGATCGATCTGGCATGGTTCGTATCTATTGGCTCATACATGCGGACATAGAGCAATATCGCCGCCGCCGGGCTGAGAGTAGGGGAACGCCTGGTAAGCGGGCATCTGGATTGGACAGTCAATTCGAATATTGACCAGGAGGCAACTCCTTACCTCGATCCCTCCCCATGACGGCTCCTGCGGAGGCGTTCGGAGGTATGAGGCTACATGATAACTTTTTCAGGCATAGTGAGGGTGCGGGTAGGGTTGGACACCTCACCTTGCACAAGCATAATCCACCGATCTGTCATGAGCGCAAAAACCGGCGAATAACGGTACGATGATCGAGCCACCGGATGCCCATGCGCCTAGGCGACACCAGCTCTGGTAGGTTATTACCTTACCTTCAACTTCGAGTTGGACGTAGTACTTGTATCGGACTCCTGCTCCAGTTGGGAATTCCTCTCAGTATGGCACGTACTAGAGGAGCATACACGTTCAAGTCACCGAAAGAATATAGCTATTCGAGCTCTTAGGTGAATATTAGGGCCACTTGCTATGTGGGCCGTGGCAAGGGGGTTGGCACAGAGCGCAGACAGGTTTTGTAGGACGGAGAGCATGGATGCATGGGATCGGTCTCCGAGTGAAATGCCTCAGCGCTGCTTGGCGATTCGTGGAGGGTGTTAGAATGCCGGCGAGTAGTTGCCGAACAAAGCAGGAGAGTTGCCAAATTCGGCTGGCCGAAATGAAGCCTCGTCCACGTGGGAGGTACCTGATACGGCGGGCCGAGGACGGCAGCCTGGTGGTCCCTGTGCGCACCGTCGACCGAGGCGAGAACGGTGACATCGTCCTTTCCCCCAGCTTCAATCGCTGCGTCCACCATCTGCCCCACGCACGTACGGTCTCCGCTGTTGCAGACCGTCGATTGACGACAACGCCGTCGCGTCCCTTGTTCTTCGACCTATCTCTGCACGTCGGCCCGACGCAGCCCAACACGGCCGCCACCCCACACTGTCCGGCGCACAGCGGCCTCTACCACACCTGCCACAGGCCATAATTGCAGCCTTCCACATCTCCAGCAACCTTCCAGCGGGTGCGCACGCGTCATCGAGACCTTGTTCGATCTCCTTCCCTCTGCTGCCCTCGCAACATGCCCAACTCAACCTCCACCTCCCACGGCCATACCCACGGCCATCCCTCCTCCGCACATGCCGTCTCCAGCACGAACTCCGTTGCCGCCAACGCGCCTTCCACGCCCGTGACTGCCCCAGCGGCCCCGGGGCCCCGGGCTCGCGGACAGAACGCACGCAAACGCGCCGCGCAGGCCGACGACGCTGCCTACCACGCTGCGGCGGGCACAAAGCGCGCAGCCGCCGACCGCGCAGACGGCGACCGCGAGCGCACGAAGCGCAAGCGCGTCGACGCGTCCTCCACCGCGGCCGGGTCCCAGACGAATGCCAGCAGCTCGGGGAACACGGGGGACAAGGAAGACCGGGTGTCTTTGGTGAGTCTTTTGCGCTGTCGGCGTAGCCTATTTTTTCTCGTTCGTCGGGCCACGGACGCTTGAGTGACTGAACGACGCGGGACGTGAGACGCGTCCTGTGCCGTTCCGTCCCGTCTTGCCCTGCCGAGCTTCATATGTATGCCATCCGTCGACTTGCATGCTTGTCGAAGTCAAGTGCGACGCGGCCTAACTTGCGGGAAGATCTGCCGGTCAGGGGGGAAGGGTATTGGACACGCAACCGCCGTCGTACAGGCTGCGGCACTATAAGCGTATCTCTGCGTGGCGGCCGCCGTGAACGGACCACGCAGAAGAAAATCTGTGTGGAGCATCGGTCGCCTTGGTTAGCGTCCCTGAAGCTCCGCTGAAGAAGGCTTCTGTACACTTCCGGGACTGCGCCGGTGCCGTCAGCATCATTCATTCGCCCTTCGGAGTTGATGTCGTCCTGGGATCGAACCGCACAAGCTGATACGAAAATATACCGTCTGTATCAAGAGGCTGATGCTAACGTCCTCTGTCCGTCGCAGATTGACTTTACGGCGTTGCCCACCGACGCGCTGCATAGGTATCTGGCGCACTTTGACTTGATCCCGGACCTGGACCCGTCACCTCTAAGTGTCGAGGATCCTGGACAGCCTTCTTCGCTGCTCAAACCGAAGACACATGTTCCGTCGCACGGCCACGCTCTGCGACAGACGTCAACCGCCAGCCCCGGACCTGGTCCGACCGGTACCGCTGCGAACCGCCCGCGACGCGATCCAGGGGCAAACAGACGGCGTAGCTCTCGTCTTGTGGAAGAGGAACGGGTGCCTGCCCCTCCGCCAGTGTATGGGGACATTGCGGAGGTGGACGGGGTGCTCGCCGCGATCGCCGAGCGACACTTCCGGGAGCAGGAGGTGAAGGAGGTGGACACGCTCGCGGCGTTCATGTGCGCGGTGCAAGCAAAGGGTGTGTGTCCCACGTCTAAACGAGCCTGTACGATTGGGCGTCCATGAGCGTGTTGTGCTGATGGGCATGACGTATGGCAGCTCGACTGGCAGCATAGGACGCCCAGCCAATCAGCGGTCGCGGCCAGCTCGGCGAGCCGTGCGCCCGGTGTCGGTGGTAGGCGCCCGTTGGGAGAGGCATTCCCATGCAGAAGGAGGCAAGGTTCGGGCCACGCACAACCACGCGCAGAATTCACCGTCCGATCTGCCAACGCCAGCCGCATCGATCCCAATTATAGTCTCCGAGGGCGAGTCCCCTTGGCGACAGTCTGTACATGCCCCTCCTGGACGTCCGCCGTCCTGACAGCTGCATCCCGAGCACAGCACAATGCCCTCGTCCCCGGCCCCTTATATACCGCCCGTCTTCGACCCAGCTCCGCATCCCCCTCCTCCTCTACTTCCTTCCATCCTTTGCAGCAGAGCTGCCTGGTCCCGGTCCCGGTAAGCACCCCTCCGCCTCCTCGAGGCAGAACACACAACTGACCCTCACCCGCCTCCAGCTTAACCTTCCCAGCCCGGCTCGGTCTTTTCGCACCTTACGAAGCTTGCTTCGCGTCGACTTTCTGCCCTTCCTACAGCCATGCAGTTCTCCAGCTCCCTCGCCGCCCTCCTTGTTCTCGTCCCCGCCTTTGTGCAGGCCTCCCCCTTGGTAAATTTTCCGCGCTTCTCACATATCCGCTGCGGTGATTGACGTGATCGACAGGCCTCGCAAAATGTCGCACGGGCTGCTACCCCAGTCGCCGTCTCGTCTGGGTCCTCGACCACCGGTGGCGACCCCCAGAAGTCGCTGAGTACGTCCTCAATCACTTCGACCCTGGCGCAGCCTCCTGAAATATCTTCTCCCCTCTCTAGCGCTCCTCCAGTCTGTCATCGCTACCGGCTTTGAGGATGATGGTCAGGACCAGCCGACCGCAGGCCAGGTGCCCTCCCTCACGTCGTCGAACAACTTCATCAACTTCTGCGCGACCGTGCCCAACCTGCCCATCACCAACGGCAAGCAGATCAAGACCGGCTCCTGCAACCCCGCGCCCATGGGTGTGATCGCCTCGACGAACAACATGCCGTCCTCCAAGTTCGTCTTCCCCAAGAACGGCCAGACGATCCCCGCGAACAAGGACTTCACGATCCAGATGGCCATCAGCCACCTCGAGACCGGCCACTTCGTGAACGCGCAGGAGAACTACTTTGCCGCGCCCCAGGTCGTCAACGCCCAGGGCGACATCCAGGGCCACTCGCACGTCGTCGTCGACAAGCTCACCTCGCTCGACCAGACCACGCCCACGGACCCGCTCAACGACTTCGTCTTCTTCAAGGGCCTTAACGACGTCGCTCAGAACGGTATTCTCAGCGCCACCGTCACCGGTGGCCTCCCCGCTGGCACCTACCGTCTGGCGTCGATTAACTCGGCGGCGAACCACCAGCCCGTCCTCGTCGCGGTTGCGCAGCACGGCTCCCTCGACGACATTATCTACGTGAGTACACATTCTGTATACTACCTCCCATCCGCCCCCTTTACTCATCGGTCCCTCCGCAACAGTTCACCGTGTCCGACTCCGCGGCTGCCTCCTCCGCTGCTCCTCCCGCTTCGACCGCGACTGTCGGCGCGATCAAGGGCGCGAACACTGGCAAGACCCCCGGAAACCAGGGCGGCTTCTCCAGCGGCAACAAGGACCAGGCGCCGCCCTCCGCGAACAAGCCCTCCTCTGGCTTCGGCCGCGGCGGCTTCCGCAACGGCCGCTCGCTCTGAGCGCGCCAGCGTCCTCCCCCGGCCCCGCGCGCGCGGTAGGGCCTAGCTGCTCTCCCCGCTTCCCGGTGTCCTGTCTCCTCCCCGCGTCGCTCGAGGTGGCGCGGCGGCCCGACCTTCATTCGTTCTTCTCGTTTTAATGCGGTTGTCATGCATGGTTGACCCTGTTGTTGTTGTATCATTCGCTCTTTGCTTGTATGTAGTTTATGTGGCATGTCGGCGCGCTGCTGTGCGGATCGACCGTGGCCGTCTTCCGCGAATAGACGGTATTGGGTTCTGGGACCAACATCTTGTTTGCGTGCGACGAGTGCCTTGGGCTTTTTTCATTCGGGAATCAGGGGCGCGAACCGGAGCAGAGGGCACTTCCCTCGACAGATTTGCGGTGGATAGTGCTCTACTTGTCGATTTTCGTTCACACCAGAAAGGAGGGATAGGAACCGGTCACTCTCCAGTCGAGGATATGACGCCGCCGGTCCAGGTCCAGAGGCTTACGTAAGAAGCCCCTAACACATGCCCCGTGGCTGAGTTGGTTACAGCGTCCGACTGTTATTCACCACGCAGTGAGCCGCTATCGGAAGGTCGTGAGTTCGAGCCTCACCGGGGCAGCGTCTTTTTGCCCCCCTTCTTCCCTGGCCCTATGTGCTGGTCCAATAGGCACCGCATTGTACCTCTCAGAGGGGCGTTTGTCTGTCACACGGTGACCGAGGTGAATGGCAGAACAGAATAATGATACAGCAATAGCCCAAATGAATACAGCGACACAAGAAATTGACCAAGCATGGGAGGAAATTAGTACGTAGGGGGATGGCGCATATGATGGGTATCGATGAAAGCGTTCCCCCAGAAAGAGAGCAGAGAGCCCGGAGGCGGACATCATTGGTACTTGTCCTTGTAGATCCAGGCCAGCCCGATATCACTCACGCCCTGCGCGACCTGTTCATCACCACCACCGTCAGCGCTATACTGGAGGAACGAACAGCGGAGGACACATACAGCTGCCCGGTACCATTTCGCTGCTTCGCGTTTGTCCTTCTTGCAGCCTTTTCCGTTGAGAAGGCAGAAGCCGAGCTCTTGCTGTGCGTCCGGGTCCCCAAGGCGTGCGGCGACGCGGAAGTATTGCTAATGGTACACGATCAGCATCGAAGACATGAATGGGAAACAGGCGCATCAGGCACTTACCACCGCCATCTCCTTGTCCTTCTCGACGCCCCAGCCATGGAAGAAGCTCTGACCGACTTCATAAATGGCAAGCACCAGCTCGGACTAACATTAACGACCGTCAGTACCGTTCATATCCCCACAACACAAGCGAACAAAACCCGACCTTGACCGCACCCATGTCCATGCCCTGCTTGCCCTTCTCCAAGTCCGTCACCGCGAGCTCCGCCGCGCGCCGCAGCCACCGGAAGCCGGCGACCTCGCTCTTCGCGCACCCCCAGCCGTGCCGCTGCGCGAGCCCCCACATGAGCATGCCCACGCCGCACCCGCCGTTGAGCGTCGCGGCCTTCTCGAACGCCTTCGCGGACTCCTGCAGCCGGTTCTCCAGGTGGTGCTGGATGCCGACCTGGAGGAAGTCCTGCGCCGTCTGCGGGTCGCTCAGGTTCGCCGGGGCGTTCCCTCCCTTTGCCGCGGGGGCCAAGGGGGCCTTTGGGGGCGGGAAACTGGAGAGGACGCCCGAGGACGGTGCGGCAGTGGATGGCGAGAACCCTGGTGTTGACGGCTGCGAGTTTGCAGTCGGGGTAGGGGGTAGTTCGTAATACGAGTAGTCCGAGTACACGCTCGTCGAGGACGTAGCCCGCGGACTCAGCCCAGCCATAGAGGGTGGCTGCGCTCCGGAGGGATGTAGTGACGGCGAAGGCAACGGCTGTCGATCCGAGAGCGATGCCGGTGATACTGGACGTGATCCATAGCCACTAGGGGAGCTCGGGCCCATCCTTGGACTCGTCCCAGGCGAGTGCAGCGGCGAATGTGGACTGCGAGCGTTCCTCATGAGCACCTCCCGTTTCCTGTCCACATCATCTGCAGGCAGCCCCGGACGCGAGAAGTTGACCGTCCCGCTTGCGACGCGAGATGGCACCCGACCGCCCTTGGACGATCCGGGGACAGCATACTGGTAGTCTTGCTGTTCTCGTTGTTCTGGCTCCGCGGAGACTACGACGGTGGGTACCGCAGGGACATCTTCTCGGCGGGGATCGTACGCGGACGCAGGGGGCGGATCAAGACCCGAGGAGCGCCAGGTGTCGCGGTACCTGGCCGTGATGCTGTCGATGTCATACGAGTCGGACGAACGCACCGAGTCGTGCTCGTGCTGCCGCGGCTGCTGTTGGTTGTAGTGGTCATAGTAGTCCTGCTCGTACGACGGCTGCTGTTGCTGCTGCGTAGACGCGCGGTATGTGTGCGTGCTCGAGGGCGAGGAGGGCACGGTGCCGGTGCCGGAGCGGCCGTCCCAGGAGAAGGTGCGCATGCTCGATTCATCGTAGTACGTCGTCGCGGTCGCCGTCGAGGAGCGGAACTGGGCATGGAGGATCGGAGAGTGTGGCGGCGCTGGAGCGGTGTTCGTGCCCGGACGGGGCGGGGTCGGGAGCTCGAGGTTGGACGGTCTGTGGTCCGGCGCGCGCCTGGACGACGTCCGGCGGATAAGCGTCCCGAGCGGGGACGAGTCGTGCACGTTCGGCGTGAGCTGCGGCCCTACGGAGAGCTCAGACATCGTGCAGAGATGCAGATAGCGTGGGGTGCAGGAACGAGCTCTCGACAGTTGGTGGTTATAGCATGAGCCATCATTGCACTTGTCGTCGCCAAGCGGGCCTGGCACAGCTCAGCCGACGGCCTAGTCCGCAGCGTCAGATCTGCATCGCAGCCACAGCACCTCGGCATCAGGCCACCGCGCACGGAAGACGGCGCACATCCAGTCAACACGTCTGACCGAGAGAGAGGAGAGCAGGAAGCAGGGTGCATGTCGTATTACGGGGATGTCTACAAATAATAGGACCTGTGCTGTACTCGACGCGTCTAGAGATACTTTTTCTCCCGCTTGAGCTCCGCGTACGGGTCCGGCCTCGGCATCCTGCCAAACCGCGGCTCCTCCTTCTCTGCAACACAGCAAGCACAGCAGAGGATGTATCAGCAAAGTTCTGGGCACGTTCCGCAACAAAAACTCACTAAGCGTGTGCTGGTAGATGTGTGACACGGTCTCATCCCAGACCTCACGCCACATGTGCGCTCCGCCACCTCGGGCTCCGTCGAAGCCGTACTTGGCTGCGAACTCGCGGTAGTTGAAGCCAAGCCTGTCCGACTCCTCGACGACCGGAATGTCGATGGCCTCAGTCGGGGATGCTTGGGGTAGCATGAGCAAGACGTAGCGATGATACGGCGTTCCGCGTTGCGGGTGAGGAGGAACATAAGGTGTGTGCGTATTCAAGGGGACAGAGGGGGTAGTTGTAAATGCGGACAGTGGGATGTTTGGTCTGCATTGGAACTGGTTAGTGTGTGACCGCGCGGAGTGCATATGGGGGTTACTCACTGCAACCAGTGGAGGTAGGTCGTGAAGGTCCGCTTCTCCGGGTCGGGGACGTCCAGGTCAACCATAAGTAGCGTATAGAGCCGCGTGTCCGTATGGAAGAGCGTCATGGAGAGCTCGGGTGGTCTCCGTGTCTGCGGTCACAAACGTAGAGTCAGCGACCCATCTTGTCACAAGCAACCAACGCTGCGGCGCACCTGCTCTGAGACGAGGAATATACCGGGTTCAACCTGCTTGAGTTTACGCTTGACACGCGTACGGAGGTAGTTGTTCTCCGGAGGGGGCTCAGAGAACTTGACGCGGAGGTCGAAAGAGGGGTGAAGTGCGGGAAGCATATCCGGAACGACGTTCATTTGGTAGATACGTTCCATCTAAAAACGCTCATCAGTTGTCCGGACACGGCGCATGGTGCATATAGTGGCATACCAGCAAGTCCAGGTCACCCTCTTCTCTCCACTGCTGTTCAACCAAATGTCTGTAGATAGGTTTGCTCATATCCGCTGAGCATAATTCAGCGAACAGTATAATCGACGTTCCACACGCGACACTCACCCAGGCCGTTCCTGGCCTTCCACCGCACATCGGGGAGGTTCACCTCACTCTGGATCTCCATAATGCGGACCTGTTCTCGCATCTCCTCCAGCGCAGCCTCGTCACGCTCACCCTCCGGCTTCTTCTCCTCAGCCTCCACCGCCGCACGAACCCGCTCGAGCTTGTTGCGCATGAAGGAGGCATCCTTCAGGATGTAACGGAGCGCGTAGTCGTACGCCGGCTCGACGCCCTTCGCGATCGGACGACACCACTCGCGGGGAGCATGCACACTCTTCTGGCGACCTCCGCCATTCTTGCCCTGCGCGCTCTCACTGATGTTCGCGTTCGCGTTGCCAGAAGCGTCCTCGGCAGTTGCGCTGGACTTCGCTGTCACCGACGACGGAGGTGGGGGAGGCGGGGCGTCGGCCTGCGGTTGCGCAGCAGCCTCCAGAGTCGCGTTTCCGCGGATGCCCGCTAGCCTAGGAGTGAAGCGAGGCAGACGGCGGAGGGCGAGCATGGCCGGCGTAAATGCTGGACTGGTCGGTCGGTCGAGCCGGGGAAGCTCAGAAATTGTGGGTGGGCGTCTACGCGACGGTGTGTGTCCCAACTCGGCAACTGTAATCGTTTAAAGGCGCGCGCCGAGTGTTCGTGACTGCAGAGCGCAGCAAGCTGCCGCTATGTGCATTCAATAAGTATACTTGCTAAAAGGGGAAAAAAGGAGGAGCTGTTGAGGTCATTAGTACATGGCAAGCATCCTCTGATTGAGGTAATACGTGACTGCGGAACGATATGTAGCACTCTCGTGCACATGGTAGAGTAAAGCCCCTGGGGACGTAGAGCGGCCCTGAGCACTCCCAATGAATTTAGTGCCAGTAGACGCTATGATCTCCTCGGTACCTTCCCTTCACAAAAATTGGTAGAATACGCCTCTTGCCGCACGGGTCTACAACCATGAACGTCCTTGCTACTATAACCAGTACATCAAGGCTGGTAGGCTCATACCGTGCCACCGGACCATTGGAGAGGTGTCATGAAAGACATGTGATGCACAAAAACGTCGCGCTGCCCCGGTGAGGCTCGAACTCACGACCTTCCGATAGAACTTCACACACACTAGATGCAAGGCGAACTCAGAATCTTGTGCATGCTCATAACAGTCGGACGCTGTAACCAACTCAGCCACGGGGCACATGTCGCACTGAGCAGCAGGTACAGTCACGATTGGTATGGATGCTACGCACACTGGCAGTTGCTTCCCTTCGGCCTGTGATGATATAGTATCGTGTGGTTCGTTTCAGAAAAAATAGGATATACTATACACATCATCTCTGATCCTGACGCGTAAACGGGCATCGCACGATATAGGAGGTCTAGGTGTCCCAACAGAAGTAGTCGGGGTGAGGCAAAAACATCTGCCCCAGTGAGGCTCGAACTCACGACCTTCCGATTATCTTTCTGACTGGTGCCTTCGTTGTCAAAGCTCCGGCAATGGTCCTAACAGTCGGACGCTGTAACCAACTCAGCCATGGGGCATATTATCGTCGGCACCCGATGCCATTCCGCTCCGAAGCAAGGTATCGGCAATAGTTTTCTGAGTCCCAACATGGTGATCCTTCACAGGCCCAAGACGGTATAAGAGCGTTATAGGGGACATCGAGTGTTCTACTTGGGTTTGTAGTGGCTGGCGTGGATATTGTGTTACGCCAATACGCGCCCGGGGGCCGGCGCCTGGAGGAGGAAGTGACGCGGTGTGACAGAACGCGCTTGGGCCTCGCTAGTGTCCTGAACTCGGTCAAAGGCGCAGAACATCATATCTTAGTCAAATTTCGGGGCATATATACCTGTATGCGCAACCTGGCGGCAGAAAGCAGACTGTATGCATCGGTGACAAGGTACTGTCGAGAAGAGGAACGTGATCTCTCGGGCTCGCGTACGCGCTCATGTCACGTGTGAGTCGCGGTGCGAAGATGGTCGCGTCTCGCGTTGAGCAGGTTGACACGAACCGCCACGACGCGAGCCACCCTCGCCTTTCCTCCCTCACTCCCTTTTCCGTCGACTACCACGCTTCCTATTGTCGGCGGACCTCAAGACTCTCAAGACATCTCGTTACGATGAGTTCCTCAGAAGAGAACTTCGACCTCGACGTCTCCGGTTCGGAGTCCGATGGTTACGTGCCTGAACCCAAGAAGAAGGCACCCGCGAAGAAACCCGCGTCCAAGGCTGCACCGAAGGCTGCCGCGAAACCCAAAGCCACGAAGAAGACCAAGGTTCTCTCAGACAAGAACGACAACGCGGATAGCGATGACGATGCGGACCCAGTGGACGAGGAGCCCGCCTCAGCCGCGGCGCCCCAGGCCGGACCTTCGGCTCCTGCTGCGAAGAAGAAGACCGCGTCGGAGATGTATACCAAGGTATGTGGCTGTATGCGTCTGCGCCTTGCTATAAAGTGACGCGATTCCGCCTAGCTCTCGCAACTGGAGCATATTCTCAAGCGTCCCGACTCCTACATCGGTAGTGTCGAGACTATCACCCAGATGACGTGGACCTGGGACTCCGAGAACAAGCGCATGGTCTACCGCGAAATCAAGTACGTCCCCGGTTTCTTCAAGATTGTGGACGAAATTCTCGTGAACGCCGCAGACAATAAGGTGAGTGAGATATTTCCCAGCATACAGCTATCCATTTCCGCATCCCCACGTGCGCCTGCGTATTCGGCTGCGTTGGGAAGAGCATCGCCGACTCGATACCATGGCCAGACCAGCCGCCACGCCGCTACTTAGTCGCCGTTGCGCACGTAAACATCGCGCATTGGTACCTGTGGCGAATGGGGACTGACGACAGAAGTTCCATAAAATGCTCCGAATAGCGCTCTAACTGAATTGCTACTCGCATAGATCAATGACCCGAGCATGGACACCATCAAAGTCAATATAGATGTCGAGAACAACACTATCTCAGTGTTCAACAATGGGCGCGGTATCCCCATCGAGATGCACTCGAAGGAGAAGATCTACATCCCAGAACTCATCTTCGGCCACTTGCTGTCGTCCTCGAACTACGACGATGATGAGAAGAAGCTCACTGGTGGTCGTAACGGCTACGGTGCAAAGCTTGCGAACATCTACTCGACCGAGTTCACCATCGACACCGCCGACAAGAACTCGAGCCAGAAGTACGTTCAGACGTGGACGGACAACATGAGCAGGATGGGGAAGGCGAAGATCACGAAGAACGGGCGTGGAGAGGAGTACACCCGTGTGACGTTCAAACCGGACCTGAAACGGTTTGGAATGAACTGCATCGACGAAGACACGGTCTCGCTCCTCAAGAAGCGCGTACACGATCTTGCAGGCACGGTGAAGGACGTGAAGGTGTTCTTGAACGACGAGCGGCTGAAGATCAAGAACTTCAAGCAATATGTCGAGCTCTTCCTGAACTCTGCGGCACAGGAGGCCGCCGATGCGTCGGGTGGCGCCGCGCAGGCCAAACAGACTATCATCTACGAGCAGATAGGGCCGCGCTGGGAGGTTGCGTTCGCGGTGTCCGATGGCAGCTTCCAGCAAGTCTCATTCGCGAACTCCATCTCCACGTCGAAGGGTGGCACGCATGTCAACTACATGGCTGACCAGATTGCGAAAGCTCTAATCACCTCCATCTCCAAGAAGAACAAGGCCGCAACGATCAAGCCCGCGCAGATCAAGAACCATATGTGGATCTTCGTGAACGCGCTCATCGAGAACCCAACATTCGACAGTCAGACCAAGGAGACGTTGACTCTCCCTGCGAGCAAGTTCGGTACCCGACCAACCCTCTCGGAGGACTTCATGAAAAAGGGTAAGTGTACTTACGCTTGTCTGAACTATTGTTCCCTGATGCACCGAGGGCAGTCGCGAAGTCCTCCATTGTCGATCACGTCCTGAACTGGGCGAAGTTCAAGGCCGACCAGCAACTGAAGAAGACCGACGGTAGCCGCCGGACGAGGTGATTCGCTCGAAAAGCGTAACGCCGCAATGATGAGCTGACTGCCAGATCAGGCTGACCGGTATGACGAAGTTGTCCGACGCGAACAACGCCGGCACGCGCAAGGCGGCGGATTGTACTCTCATTCTCACCGAAGGTGACTCCGCCAGGGCGTTGGCCATCGCCGGTCTCGGTGTCGTCGGACGTGACAACTTCGGTGTCTTCCCACTTCGTGGAAAGCTGCTGAACGTTCGTGACGCCAAGCACGACCAGATCATGAAGAACGAAGAGATCCAGAATATCAAGAAGATCCTGGGGTTGCAGCATAACAAGGAGTACACAGACGTTAGCACCCTGCGATATGGCCGTCTCATGCTCATGACGGATCAGGTCAGTAGAGCGGCGCGACGAACAAAGCGGTAATGCTGACCTCGTCTCCAGGATCACGATGGTTCGCATATCAAGGGCCTCCTGATCAATTACTTGGACCATTTCTATCCCTCATTGCTTAAGATCCCCAAGTTCCTTGTGGAGTTCATTACGCCTGTTGTGCGAGTAAGTGTTTCCCCCCCTCAACACAAGCGTGCACCTACTGAGGTCGCGCCCAGGTATGGAAGGGCAAGCAAATCATCAATTTCTACACGATACCAGAGTACGAAATATGGCTGGAGGAGACGCCTGACTCGCACAAGTGGGAGCACAAGTACTACAAGGTGCGCAACTCGCTATTCATTTACGTACATGTCTCTCATCCGCGTATAGGGTCTTGGTACGAGCAAGGACGAGGATGCTCGAGAGTACTTCAGGGACATGAAGCGCCACATGATTCCGTTCTCCACCCAGCAGGACGGTGACCGTGAACTTATTGAGCTTGCGTTCAGTAAGAAGAAGGCAGACGACCGCAAGGAATGGCTTCGTCAGTTCAGGGTAAGTGCCGTCGGAGCACGACGTTCGCATTCCTACTAAACTATATCGCTAGCCTGGTACCTTCCTCGACCATACGCAACGCGAGATTCCATTGAAGGACTTCATCAACCGCGAGCTCATCCTCTTCTCCATGGCTGACAACATTCGATCCATTCCGTCGGTCTCCGATGGATTGAAGCCCGGTCAGCGGAAGGTCATTTGGTCGTGCTTCAAGCGTAACCTGAAGAGGGAAATCAAGGTGCGTATTCATTTGGTGCTTTGTAGACGCATGCTCACTCCCTACTTCTAGGTCGCGCAACTTGTCGGTTACGTCTCCGAGATTTCCGCCTACCATCACGGCGAAGCGAGTTTGATGGCCACTATCATCAACTTGGCGCAGGACTTCGTCGGCAGCAACAACATGAACTTGCTCATGCCGAACGGTCAGTTCGGTACCCGTGATCAAGGTGGTAAGGACCACGCCGCGGCTCGTTATATCTACACCGAGCTGGCGCCGGTCATCCGTAACGTCATGCATCCCGCGGACGATGCCATCCTCACGTATCAGCAAGATGATGGCAAGTCGGTGGAGCCAGAGTGGTACATGCCCGTCATCCCTCTCGTTCTGGTCAACGGCGCCGAAGGTATTGGCACTGGTAAGTCAACGTATGTTGCACACCTTAGGATGCTTCCTGATGTGTTTCGACAGGTTGGAGTACCTCCATCCCTAGCTATAACCCCGAGGACATCGTTGCGAACATCCGCCGTCTCATGGATGGTGAGGAGCAAGTCCCCATGCTGCCTTGGTGGCGCGGCTTCTCCGGTACGATCAAGAAGACTGGTGATAACAAGTACGACGTTCTGGGTACGGTCACCAAGGTCGACGACTCGACGATCGAAATCACCGAACTGCCCATCCACAAGTGGACGCAGAACTTCAAGGCCGAGCTCGAGGCGATGTGCGGGGAGAAGGGCGACGGGCCCGTCAAGGTAAATTCTGTACAATGCCCGCGTCCGACTTGATTGCTCAACGCTTGTTATTCCTCAGGACTACAAAGAGTACCACAACAACATGAACGTCCACTTCGTGGTCACCATGACGGAGAAGGGGATGGAACAGGCGGAGAAGCAGGGCTTCCACGAGTTCTTCAAGCTGACGACGAGGATCAACACCAGTAACATGGTTTGCTTTGACTTCGACGGCAAGATCAAAAAGTACAACTCGGCGGAGGAGATCATCGAGGACTTCTATCCCAAGCGCCTCGCTTACTACCAGAAGCGCAAGGTACGCGCAGCTCAACGAATGACGTAGAGACAGGGGCTCACAACAGTCGTAGGACTTCTTGGCGAACGAGTTGCAGACGCAGCTCGACCGGCTGAGCAACCAGGCTCGCTTCGTCAAGATGATCATCGACAAGGAGCTCATCATCTCAAACCGGAAGAAGGCTGACATCGTCGCCGAGCTCCGCAAGAAGCAGTTCCGCGCCTTCCCCAAGGTCGCGAAGGCCAAGGTCCACGGCGAGATTGAGGATGTCGTCGAGGACGAGGAGGGCAGCGACTTCGAGGGCAACGTCACCGACTACGACTACCTATTGGGTATGGCCATCTGGAGCTTGACGAAGGAGAAGGTTTGTTTTCGAGCCCCCTAATTCGTATGGTCCAGTCGC